ATAAAATAGAGTAATGTGTTATATTTAAAATTAAATTTAATTCTGATTATATTTTGAAGGGGGAAACAGAGAGGGTGGGGAGGGTCTGGTTGATGGGTTGAGGAGGGGGAAGAAAAATGAGTGGCGAAAGAGGGCACCACGGAGGGCAGACCCACCGAAAAAGCAAAAGTGGAAATCAACTTTTGCGCTTTTAATACTTGTGGTCTCATAATGTAACTAACTATGTTTGTGAGTGCCACGCTGTTCACACACTCTCACAACACCCCCCATCATTGCCTGCCACGTCTGAAATTCTATATCCCTTTTTAATGTTTAATTTTGCCTCACACTTGGCCGCACTTTTACTGACCCCCCACTTGAGTTTTCATTTTTGTGAAATCGTTTTTTTTTTTTTAACTAAAGAATAGGTATTATTTTATTAGAAGTAATCATATTTAAAGTATTATCAGACACTAAATGCGGGTATCTTTTTCAACAAAGATTCAAACATTGATTCGCTATACTGTGAGGGACTAGTCCTTTCTGTTAGACCAGTTCTTTGGTATGGAATCAATCATTGGCTTGCGTTTTGCATGGTGGTGTTATTCGGTGGGCTTTTATGGGCCCAATTTATGAGGTCCATTTCCCATCCACGTCGGATTTCCACCGTCGTTTTGCGCTGCTCTTTGTTGTCGTTTTCGTCACGCACTTGGCTCTCCATATTTCTCATTCTCCTCCCACCCATTTCCCTCATTCCCCATTCCCCAACGACAACACCACGGCTACTTTTTCAGCTGTCCGTTCTTCCAAATTCCCTTTCTTGCAGATATAAGAATTTAATTTTGTATGCTATTTGATCGTTCGTGGCTGAGGATTCCAATTCTCTTAAAGAATATTGAAGGTTCCAATTTTATGGATAAAAAAGGGTCTACGTAGAGAGCTACCCATTCAAATCCAATACTACTTAAATACCATCCTTTTTTTTGTTGGAATACCACATCATTGTATGCTATATGTTTAATAAGCTTATGGGAGTATATTTCTACTTGTAATTACAATAAATTGTAGTGATAGTATTCTCTTTGTCTTATTTATAAAACATTTAACATATTTTACTAGCATCAAGAAAAATCTTAAATTTTATTAATTCATCTTTTATCATGAAATCTGAGCTTAATTTGATTTTGATTTATAAAATTTGAAGCTAGTGGGTTTACAAGACTGAAAAAATTGTCCGGACCCAAAATATATTCTGGTGCATTGTAAATGGTAAGGAGAGTTTGAGGAGAATAGATGGGAGGGAGGGGAGGTGTGAGAGTGTGATCCACGTAATGGAGAGGTTGAAAAGGAGAGGGATTTTGACTTTGAATGGGAAGGTTAAGAATGTTGTTAGAAATTAGTCCAAATGCTCTCAATTTCAGAGAGCGACTGTGTTATGTCATGTTTGGCAATCACTTGGTAGTGTCTCTCCATCGATGCAATGACTTGGACCCCATTCATCTTTTTGGGGTTTGAGGGCCATTATCAGTATTTGTAGTGAATCAGTCAAAATCAAAACGACAACTACTGAAAGCTGCCCTTCATTAAATATGTCATGGCCGTGCCTTGCGGTTGGACCACTTCTGAATTCCCACAACCACAGAGCTACTCATTACCATGCACAGAGAATCTTGTTCTTTCTATGTTCGTTTTTTCCGTTGGAAATTGTCGAGAATCAACTCTATTCCATTTCATCTTCTTTGTGCTCACGAATCTTGGTCAAACTTTAATTCCCGCCCTTTTTATTTTTTTTCACTGTTTCATTCTTTTCATTATCTCCTTTCTGCTCCCTGTCTCCTCCTCCTTATTTAAACTCCTCGAACTTGTGAGTAAAACACATTGATTAGAATGGATTTTTGAAGCCTTTTTCTGGTTGAAGTCGTCAAAGCAAATGAATCGCGTGGTATAATTGAAAATGCATGACGATATTGAAATAGACTGTTCTTACCAACTTGTATTAATGATGATAATATTCAAATACAGAAAAGGATCGCAAGAATCTCAAGTTCAATTTTTATAATTAGGCATGGATAAGCTCAGATTTAGATTTCTAAAGCCAAAAAGAAAAAAGAAAAAGAGAAGTTGAAAGGCCACTCACAAAGTAGGATACATGCATCACTGTCATTGTCTATCTTTTGCTGATGTTTTAAAATGAAAATGACAAAAGCAGACGAGAAGAAGAACAAGGCCTGGCTTGTGAAATAACGTGGACTCAGATTTTAAGGATAACAAAAATTAGTATGGATGGGTCCAGATGTGGAATGCGAAAGTAATCTTTCTTATACCGATCAAGTGATATTTAACTATTGAAAGTATATATTCATCCAGTCTCAAATATAAGACTCATTTTGTAATATAAACTACACTACAAAATAGGTCTTACATTTCGATATGAAGAGTATATATTTTTAGTAGAACTGAATTATATATAAAATTATTATCACTGCAAGCCTGTTAACAAAAATTTACAAAGGCTATGAGCTTATTTGGAATAGTTTATAAGTAGCTTTTTAATTATAATTTACAGAATACGAGGTAAGTATGTGAGAGGAATTCTATCTTTACTTACTTAAAACGTGCTTATTAAATCATTTTAAACGTCATTGGCTGTGACTTAAGCTGTAATCTCACGTTTATTGTTCCAGAATTTAAAAAAAAAAAAACAAAAGGGAGCAAGTTCAGTCCAAAAGAAAATGGGAGCAACTACTTCGCACGCCTTCTTACAAGGTTAAGTGGCCTTTGGATTTGGGTTATTCTGAGTAATAACTCGGGCTAAGCCTTATCCAGCATAGCCCATGACACTATGACCCAGCATGTGGGCCCCAGAAGGGAAACGGCTTATGTACAATCTCCATTGATTTGTCAGATTTAATTACTTTTTAATAGATGTTCTTGAATGCTTAAAGGGATGTTACATTTTTGGTCAAAATAACGGTGTTAGGCTGTTAGGTTTGTTTTAAAATTTAGTTGTTGCCCTCACGAGAAAACTCGCCTTTGGAAACATCGACCATGGTTGACACTAATATTATTCTAAGCTTGTGCATGATTTTATATTATTAGGTCTAGGAAATTATCATGAATTTCCAAAGATGCCTACAAATGAATTCTTCCAAATGAGGGTCATTTTATTATTTGCTACAGATATTTGCGGGGTTTTTTTTTGGGTCCCGTTTCAGCACTCATCATACCAATCATACAAATTATGTATATTGCTTTTGCCAACATTTTTCTGATGGACTACCTCTGGTTTTAATTATAAAAGTTAGTTAATTAATTTGAAGAGATTAAAGAAAGAAGTTAAGTTAGTTATTTGTAATAAATATGTATTGTTTTTCCTAAAATATCTTTACTAATCAAGTATATTGATTAGAACTATCACTATTAGAAGGACCACTCTTGAAAAAAATGTATAAATATAAGAGACAGAGTGAATTAGAGTCTTATATTTAGGGTTAAAATAAAAATCAAATAAAATTTTATATTAAAGACCGGAGGTAGTATATCAAACTTTGCTTTTTCTACACATATCTTTTCCCACTTCCTTTTTTCATTTCATTTAAATGAGACTTTCGACCCACCAAACACGGGAAAAAAAAAATGATGTTTGCCAGATGAAGATGCAAGGTGCAGCCAAAGCATTTGAGTGCCGACTAGCATTAAAGTTTTTGAATGTGTCTCCCAACCAATTTATAATTTATAGAACAAACCAGAATCACATGTTCTTCTTTCTTTCATTGACTGCTTCTCTTTTTCGTCTCTTTATTTCTCTTTTGACCCTCTCTAAGTCTTTTAGAATTAGCTCCATTGTGATTTTGAAATATTCAAATTGTAAGTGTCGAAGATCAAACAAACAAAAGAAGCTACGAAAGAAAATTAAAAAAAGAGTCAAATATTGCTGCTCCTCTTTTTTTTTGGATTGGCGAGACATTATATCCAGAGAGATAAGGGATTCAGCAGTAACTTTACATACGTGACATCCAAATCGAATATATTCCTCCGGTCCTTAATATAAGACCCATTTAACTAATTTGATTACATTAAGGAAGTTAGGTAAATTAGTTAATTAAGTAACACATTTTTCCTAAAACACCATAATCATTTTTATTAATACTCCATCTCCCTCTTCTACTTAATTATGGTTGAGGGAATATCTATAGGGATAATTTAGAAAAATTGATAAATATGATAAATGGGTCTTATATTTAGGACCAAAACCAATTCAAGAATTGAGTCTTATATTAAGAACCGGAGGAGTATAATGTTTTCACGAAACATATACTAAGAACTAAGTTATACTAAATCTTTATATTGATATTGTTATATTAATTAATACTACTTCTTATCCTTAACATGTCTAATATGCATAGATTAAAAAAATTAGTTAATTTGACTATTTGTAATAAATATGTGTCGTTTTCTTTAAAATATCTTTGCTAACCATCTGTATTAGTTAGAAGTTCAGAACTACGATTTAATAAAACCTTTCATATATGTAATTATAACAATAAATATCTTGAAAAAGATGAATAAATATAAAAAAATAAAATGACTTAAAATCTTATATTTATAATCAAATTAAATATTAATATAACTCTTATATTAAGAATAAAAAATAATATTATTGACTATTTTTAATATTTTATTTCATATATGTCAAAAGTTTACATCTCCTGCAACTAACCGTGTATTATTCCCCGCGTCCGGTTCTTTGTTCAAGCACTGACTGATTGGTGGGCCCCATGAGGGTATCGATTTTGATCAATTTAGTTGACCCAATCCAACGGTGAATGCGGCCCCTAAGTCCAACTGTGCGCAGAGACAACGTGGGAACTTGTCACGCATTTCCCGCCTTCTTTAACGTTCAGTTCCTTTGACCCTTTGTACATTAATTGTAACGCCTCATTCATGTTGTACAACATTGCCACATTAATCACTAATTACGAATTTTGAATCGCCTTCTTCCTCTGTATGCCGTTGACGATCTATCACATAATTATATAATCTATCAATAATTATCACGTCCGGCGTTAGAAAAACTTGTATCTATCTATCTCATCGCATAAATTTAAGAGAGAAATTGCTCTTTCTGGTTCTTCGTTTGCTGACAAACTCTCGTCTGAATCTCTTCTTTCTAATCCTTGTCCCTCGGGACATTCCATTGCGGATCTCACATTTGGGCAAGCCTCTCGTATTTCGTGTTTCTTGGATCTTTCAAAGTCGATGCACGCTCCAGTTTTCTCAAATCTCTCTGTCTTCTGTACATTAGCAGTAGTATTGAGATAGATGAGAAATGTTGACTGAATTTTCAGGAAATGAATTCGAATTGCACAAGAGTCCTTGAAGGCTTGAACTTTGGCTATGATCGGAATCAATAGTTCACTTCAGATTTCGAGATTAACAAATATATTGCGAGTTAGGTTTTCGTCTATTAAACAGAGGTCGAATCGGAGTGAGAAACCGATCTTGATCTTTCTGAAGACTGTCATTGAAGGAGTTAACATGAGCAGCAAGAAAGCAGTGAATTTGGACGACGAGCAGATAGCCGAGTTACGCGAGATTTTCCGTTCATTCGATCGGAACAACGATGGTGGCCTCACTCAATTGGAGCTCAGCTCGCTGCTCCGTTCGCTTGGCCTTAAACCAAGCCCCGAACAGCTGGAGGGATTCATGCAGAAGGCAGATACAAACAACAACGGCCTTGTGGAGTTCTCGGAGTTCGTGGCGCTGGTGGCGCCAGATCTTCTGCCGGCGAAGTCACCGTACACGGAAGAACAGCTGAAGCAGCTGTTCAGCATGTTTGATAGGGACGGAAATGGGTTCATCACGGCGGCGGAGTTGGCTCACTCTATGGCGAAGCTAGGGCATGCTCTCACAGCAGAAGAGTTGACAGGGATGATCAAGGAGGCTGATTCTGATGGAGATGGAAGGATCAGTTTTCAAGAGTTCTCACAGGCCATCAGTTCAGCTGCTTTTGATAATTCCTGGGCTTGACGAATTCATCTTCTTAATGGTATTGGCTCTTCCCTTTACTTCTCACAAATGGATCATGCCACAGGACACAGATTTCCGGACTTCATGTGTGATTCAACTCAAATTGCCATGCTGTTGTGAAGTTGAGAATCTTTTTCTTTTGGGTTTCATTTCATCAGATATGGTGAATATAGTTGGCTACGTAGAATGTTAAACATTCAAATAACTAGCAATTCATATCCATACATGCTCATAAAATCAAGGAAGCAGATCTTAATATCAAGGCCCATCATATTTGGATCTAGCATTACATGTATTATTTGGTATAGAACTCTGCTCTTATTGATAATGTGAGTCTGTTTCCTTGCAGAATCGGCAACCAAACTCAGAGCAAAATGAAGGCAATACAGTTTGATCAAAGAGGGATCCGGACATGTTGCGAGACGAGTGATTTTTGAACTTTTCATATAGATACGGAGGTGCTAATGAGGATGGCCTCTGGGATTGAATTGGAAAGTTTTCTATGTTATTTGGCTCTGAAAACATCAACTTTCACGATTCTGTTGGCATTTGATTTTCAAAATTTGATCGCATGGTGAGCGACAGATTCATGTACATTGATGGTTGTCAAAAGAATAGAAAGCGGCTACCTTTCACATTTGTTCCATCGAGTTACAACTTAAAATCATTCAGATGATTTTTTGCTTTGGTGCGCGCGCACACATTTAAAGAAAATCTGAAACGAATTTTCACACACACCAAAAAAAAAAAACACGATCATGGTGAAACGACTAGCAATTACTTTTTAAGTCTGCCACTGCACATAGTAAACTAATTACTAACGTATTTTCATCAAAAATAATTTTAATGTATATGATTGAATAACAGTAATTTAAAAAAGTCAACAGATATTTGTTATAAATAATTAATATAATTTTTTCAAATTAGTTATCCAGAGATATATTGTAAATTAGCTTCTTCTTTTTTTCGCAATCACTTTCTTCCTGTCCAAAATACGTGAAGAAAATAATGAGTAATGAACATTTCGGTTTTTGTTCTTTCAAGTCTAAACAGGGGAAGTGTTTTATAGGTTCGCTTCAAACGCTCTATTGTATTGTGCGAGCACTCTTTGCGCGCATGGAAGCTGTAACAACTAGACAACCAGTGAGCTAACAGAACGTAGTTACATGTAGATATATCAGGCGCAGAGAAGACCCAAGTTAGAATGATTGATTTCTCTCTTTGGAGTTTTAGGCTCATGAGCTTCATTCCATCTGGTCTGGGTTTGATAGAGCAATTCTGAATTCAACTTACTAATCATATCGCTAATCTTGTTCAACTCAATGTGGGTTTGCTTAAGTTTCAACAGACCACCTGGTAATATTTGTGCGACATTAGAAGAAGACAAAAGGGGCTTAGCTCTTCCCAGGATTTGTGGATGTAGGGGCTCAAGGGACCCAGTTTTCCTTTTGTCCAAAAAAAGGGGCTCACCAAAATAAAGAGCAAATAAAGATAAACACCTTGGTCAAAGTACCCGGAGCTAAAACCAAGGAGACCAGGTCATGTCTTTGCTCCAAAATTTGAAAACACTTTCCAGTTTCCAATCAAAATATTACATAGGGAGAAAGAAACCCCCCAAAAATGCAAGAGCGATTGCGAAAAAAATGATAATGAAGATTAAGCTTTCTTCTTTTTGGATTTAAGCATCACATATCCTATGAATATGCTTATGAAGCACAGAAGCGCCACACCAGCAGTCACAGGTATTAGGATAGCATACTCCTGGGGCAGGAAATACTTGTGGATGAAGTGATTGCTATCTACAAATGGCTGAAAACCGAAAGAACGATAGTTAATGAAGGTGAAGTCAGCATAATTTTTTTGAAGATTACTTGTCAAGGTACCTACCAGGATAATGACCCAGAAAGTATAATAAGTGAATATAGTTATGCTGATAAAGGATAATACAAAGCCAACTGCTCTATCAGCTAATTCCATGATGACGGCCTATGTTCTGACTTCCTGTTAACACCATAAGACACAAATGATCCCTTCAATTGCAATAGCAAAACAGTAATAATTATCGCAAATCAAACAATGCCAGCCCTCTCACAAAAAATTGCTAATACCTAATACAAACAAAATAATTGGATTACAACCACTGGCCGTTTGGCCGAGTAGCATGTGTGTGTGTGGAGTGTGTGCGTTGTGGGTTTGATCCTGCCTCCTTGTAACCAAAAAAAAAAAAAAGTTGGATTACAACCAGTTGCATGAAACTATAACCTTGGAAATGCATGTTCAGTTGTTTTCACAAACTTGAAATGAAGGTCTATTTAGAGCAATGAAACTTGGATAAGAGTAATAATTTTCAAATATTTCAATTCTAGCATAACTGGTCCCTGCAGCCTTGTATATTCAAATCAGTCATTGTTACTCGAGTCGACCAGATACTGGGAAGACACTTTCTGATCACACAATAAACATTAATGTGCACGGTCCAGGCTTCAAACCCCAAGTATAACTCTACTACTAACGTTAAAAAAAGCCAATGATAGAGTCTACCATAAACCTCCATTTACGTATATGGATGAATATTTTGTTTTTGGAGGTTTAAAGCAACCAATTGCAATTTCACCGAGAAAAGGAAACCAATTATACTAGACATACTCAACAGTGACTACTTTAGGGTGTGATAGTGATGATGGCAAAGGGTAAAAATCTGATCCCCCCAAAGTGAGCAGAAACACTCATTTCACAAGCAATTACAGCGTATGGTAATGTCAAATATTATCAAGAAGCATTATCAGTTACGGGCAGCAGTTAAATTTCAAAAGAAGGACGTCCCTATAAGAAAGAAAATTAAGCACAGATTCGGATTCAAGGAAGAAGAGATTCCAGATTCCATCCATTAAAATTTCAGAATTAAGCATACGGCAATGCAACAAAGGATCTGGTGAACGATGGCAGTGCACCTAGGGTCGAGATTGAACAAGTAGTTCTCCAATCAATTTATATAATTTGGGGGGGGGGGGGTTCTCAGTAATTTGCATCACCTCCTCCAATCGATCAGAGAGTATTTCCTGGTCGTGAGATTCATAGAATAACCCTAATAAATTTGTAGAATCAGATAGCAATTTCTCTAGTTCCCTGATATAACAATTGAATCTGAAGTTACAATGGCTCTCCTGAATTCTAAACGGGACCTTGATTGTGAGAAAGTAATTACGCGATGAGATCCTTTCAATGGCGAGGGAGAGAGAGGTGCTTACCTAGATGAAAAAGGCGGCGATGACGGTTCACCTGTTAATACCAGGCGTCGCCTTTGATCGTGGGAAAACAGAATCCAGCAATCGCAGGAAGAAAAGCGCACAGAAGAAATCGGAATTACGTGAGCACATGTTTCGAATGCAAGGTCAAGCGCAGTGGCCAACAAAAACCCCGTCCAAAAACCCCCAGTTTTATTTTAACCTACTCAAATTGCTAAAAAAAACTCAAGAATTTAAAAATTGAACTACTAATAACTTCTTAATAAATTAAAAATCTATAAATACATATTACATTTGAATATATGCAATAAAATAATACTATCTCCGTCCTATTTATAAATCTTATTTATAATATATAAACGAGGATTTTATAAATAGAATCAAGGTAATAAAAGTATTTTTTTTTAGATATTATAACACTGATCTTGAATATAGACTACAACGATGACATGTGGTTAACATGTAATTTTCCCTTAACAAACTATCAAATATTTGATACTATGGAGTAATTTAAAATTGAAGAAGAATTGGATTACCAATTGAGGGGAAGATCTTCAAAGTTTTTTTCTCTTTCTTTTGTCTTTTTTTAAAATAATTTAACTCAAACTGAACACTTTGCTCAACCACCATCTCTAACCAAGTGGTGGAGATTGATAAAGGAAGGTAAGTTTTTTCCCCCCTGCTGTTTTCTTGTTTTGTAATTGTTGGCATCCAGATTTTATTATAAAAAAATAAAAAAAGACTGGAGACTTTGCTAACGAAAACTCACCATCCTTCTGCGCTGGAGTTTTCCATCTCTTTCTGTCAACGATGTCCCAAATTCAAGCAGGACCATCCCTTAACCCCTAGGAAGCAAAACAAGAGATCTTGCAAGAGACGAGGCTAAACACGACCTAAAAAGATCCTCTCAATTAAATTTTAACCAAATCCAACACACACAAACATAGTATATACAGAAACATGAGACTCCCTTTTAAGAAGTTGAGGTTTTAAAGGCATTCATTTTTAGTGAGACGTATTCATCAATCCACTTTGGCTGATTCATATGCCAATACTGGACCCTTCATATTTCCACCTACCTACGCATCACAAATTTAGAAATTGGATGTACATTCACATCTTATACCACTTGTTGGTAGGCAATATGAACCATATAACATCATTACATCCACCAACCACCCATATTTTCTTTTCGGTGAAGTTGTCTGTATTTCATATTTCACTTTAAAGACAGGCAGCAATACACCGTACAAACATTGTTCATCTCAGCCATATTATTATTGTTACTATTTCTGCATGCTCTTTCTCTTATAGGCGACAATGTTAGCACCTCAAGAGTGAAAAGAAATGATTTTGCAAATTCGCAAAATCGTAAAAGAAGGAATCATAATCAACCAGACAAACAACAAGGAAAAGTTCCAAAAGGAAACAAAGAAGTAAACATAGGATACCGATGACAGAGAGAGAAGATAAATGTGAAATGTGGCAGCAAAAATGAAACAATAGTAAGGATCACAAATTGGATTTGATTCCCTCCCTTCCACAAAACCACAGCAATAACATATTACAATTCAACCAACGGGGATTGAGTCTAGTAAAAAAAGTTAGTCTTTTATAACATGACGAATTAATGTTTAAATTTTTTCTTAGAAAAGTGTTTACATTTAGTGTCCGACAGTACCTTAAATAAAATTGTCTTCAATAAAAAGATATCTATGCTTTAGCAAAAAAAAAATAAAATCAAATGGTCCTATTGGGCCGAACCAGGATCCCAACTTATACTGGGCTTCCTCCAAGCATTTCTTGTTCCATAGCCAGTCCTGGACAACAAAGAAGACGAAGCCGAAAGAGGGAGAAAAAGGAAAAGACGCGGCCGTTCTTTTGTTTTGTTTTGGTTTTTTTTTTTTTTGGGTAACTTTCTTTTGCCATCTTTTGCAATTTTGTTTCTATATGCCAAAAGAAAGGTTAATGACTTTGACCAAAAAAAGAAAGGTTAATGACGATTAGAAAAGTCACACAGCACTAAAACGAAAAAAATTAACAAACAAGTAAACGGGCTAGCTTAAAATGAAACGAGAAAATTAAATAATATCTCATGAATTCTATTAGAATTATATAAATCTTTTATTATTTTTTAAACATATATAAATATCTCATTATAATATAAATAAAGGGCTGTATGAATGAAAATAAAACTATAGTTTTAAAAGTGATTTTATTAAATATGTGAAGGATTTTATCTGGATTTTTTAAAAATATTTTCAAAAAACATTTATAGGATATCCAAACACTCCCAAAATCTAAATTGTTTTAGTAAAACACACAGAAGAAGAAGATCAAATGCAATCTCTTTATTGTGAAAATGCTTGTGTATATTTAAAAAAGGTTATACAGTTTCAATAAATTTAAAAGTAAATTTATATAACTTATGGTTTTAAAAATATTTAAAATTCCGAAATAAAAAAAAAAAATACATATAATTTCTTTAAAATTTATTTTTTTAATAATTTATTCAAATAAAAAAGTCCAAACGAATAAAGTAAAAAAAGGCATAAAAGAAGGATAAAAGACGAAAAGCAATAGAATGAAGGATAAACAAACATTGGATTCCAATGAGATTTAAAAAAGTGAATGTGTGAATTGTGACGTGGCACCAAAAAAACTATAAGGATTTTTCTTTTTCTCTTCCGGACACAACGTATAGTTGTAAATAAATAAATAAATAAATAATGTTATTAAACAAATCACAAGTTGACTCTATCACTGATTCACTGGCACTCGGCTCGCAGTTTCTCTCCTTCTTCCCCATTCCTCAGCCGCTCTATGCGTGTCGGCGACCATGCAGAGGCAATCTCTCGGCTCACCTTCCTCCAAGCTCCACCTCCATGGAAGCCCTAAGGAGGCCCCACTCTCACCACAAGAACCCAAGCGCCGCCTTGAAGTCGACGACGACAACAACAAGACTCATCGCTTGTCAATATCGCCGTCTCCCGCACCGAACAAGTTCATCCACCTCATTCCCATTCTCACGCTCCTCTGCTTCTTCATCCTCTACCTCTTTTCTCACAGTCCTTCTCAATCAGGTACTCATTCTACTTTAACACTGCGCCTTATCATCATCAATCTTCCATTCCTTCGTCACTATTTCATTTCCTCGCCTTCTTGTTTCAGACTTGGCTCAGTTCAACGGATTCAAGCGCTCCTCCAGTCATTTCGGTATGATGCATTTGTAGAAACCGGAGACGGTTTTTTTTTTGGAATTTATCTAGCCATGGTAATTTTTTGGACTGATTTCGTTCTTGTTTGTTGTCTTTAGATTCGGCGGTGGAGATGAACGACATTCAGAAGTACATAAAGGTGGAAAGAGGCGATGTTTTAGCGATTCGAAGCCTGCGTAATTTGCGAGAGATCGGGAAACAGTCTCAGAAATCCCGGCCTCACAGGAAATTCGCTGATTTCTAATCTTGATTTCTCGCTGCCTTTCATTCAATATTCTTATTCGTGTATATCCGAATTGCTTGCGGAAAATTTTTTTTTTTTGCCGCTTTCATTTTTGTACAGGCATTTCGAGTTCGGAATTGATTTCCACTGAATAATCATAATAGCACAATAATTCCCATAAATCTTTGTCTCCTGTTGGAGCTGCTCGGCCAAACAACTGGAACGGCGAGTGTAGGATAAAAAATGTGAGTTCCGGCGACGGCGTAAGATAGAAGAGGACAGGGTGTGGTGCGCCGAATGTTGGAATACAGCTGGACTTTGGGACCGTTAACTCGTCTCGGTTTGCGGTTGAAATGCCAGCTGTAAATGGTGGTGCTCATAGGAATAGTACACCTCATTTACCCTGCAATTGATTTTCTCAGTTGGCCTCAAAAAAAATAAAAAAAGGAATGCCATTTTTCTTGATGGAGTATTGAATGTTATTTTGTGGAGAGCAAAAGTAGTAATGGGTGAGTATTTGGGAGAGGGGAGAGGATTTTCATTAATTTTGCTAATAATTATTTAATGCATCTATTTATTTACATGACATTTTTCTTTTTAGCATTCACACAAAATTTCGTCCATAATGACGAGCGCCTCTTGATTCCAGTATGCATCTATTCTTGGTTTAAAATATCTTTTGGTCTTTATTCCTTTGCTGAGATTCACGGGGAGGGCTAAATTAAGAGCGGTTTACACGTGTTGCACAATAGTGTCGGTGGGGGGTGATCAAGTTCTAGATCTCTAAGAGGACCATATGATTGAGTTTGTGTTTGGGCTGATTGGGTGAACGTTGTGGTAGCACTAAGAAATCGATTATCATCTTCGTCAACATCAAAGGATCAACATCAAACAGTATGCTACCTCAGGGTCTTATTATTCGTCCAGCTATAAATTACATTATAAAATATGTTTTATATTTAAAATTAAAAAAAAAAAGATTTTGTATGACTTTTTATTTAGTTCTAAATATAAGATCTTAATTCACTTTATTTTTCATATTTATTTTTTTCAAGACAGTATTTTTAATAATGATAGCTTTAACCAATAAACCTGATTAGTAAGGATATTATAAAAAAAGTAATAACTATTTATTATAAATAACCAATCTAATTTTTTTTTAATTTACCCAAATTAATTAATTAGTTATTGTATTTAACACTCAAAGTGGTAGTTGATTTACGCGAGAGAGGGATCAATACTAATGAAAGAACTAATCTATTTAAATCCCAAGTTGTGCTACTTTATTGAGTAGTGAACATTGTTCTTGCATTTAGTCCTAAATGATGAACATGGGGCCAGTGCCCTGTGGATTGATGTTCAGGAATACGTGGCAGGTGGGGAGGCATTATTGTGATGGTTTAGGTGGTGGCGGGGAGAGGATGATCCAAAATGACGATAAAAACGGGGGTCCCACACAAACGACACAAAATGGAAGGTGATTTGTAGTGTCGTTTATCAGTGTTGGTGACGCCGCACCAACATGTCGTTTCACAGTTGATGCTGGCTTAAATGCCGCCCACCCTGACGCGATGCTGACATTAAAACATTACCCTCCTCTCCACGAACGCCAGGATATCTTCCTCTCCTCCATCACTTTATTAACCCAACAACTTATTTAAAATTTATATTTTCAATACGGATAATGTTTCAAATTATAAATTTAGTCCCTAAAATTTTTGTCAATTAAGTGCCTAAAATTTCATCAACAATTTTATATTTCTATTTGATCTACTGGACCAGTATTTTTTTTTTTGGCTGTCTGTGAGTTAGCAATTAGACTATCTGGGTGTTGAAGATTACGTGTCTTTAAAATATAAGAACCAATTGTGTGTGATTATGAAGTATTAAAAGGACATGCTATTAATGTTAATCTAGGTCACGGGGTTATGTTAAAAAACATGAGGGATGAAGTACATGGATATATATCATTTTCATAAGAGATGGAAGCTATTATGGGAAGTTAAAAGAACACTGTGAGAGTAGCGACCAATGAGCTTGTAAAAGCAACCTAATAGAATATCTGTTCATAATGCACACGTCAAAATCAAGAAAATACACGTGGCAACGCGTGATGGAATTGTAAAGTCGACACTTTATTAAAATTCGTTTAACTTTTTTTTTGTCGGTATTATTATTATTCATTAAAATAACAATTTTGTTGCCGGAGTGGGTTAGGGCGCTATTCCTTCATAGCAAAATTTAACTTACTTAGCCACTACGTATCCAATTCTTTACTACTAATAAATAAAAAAAATCAGATGAAGTATCTTCCTAATAAAGGTTATTCAATTAGTAATAATTCGAACACGTCAGAGTAGGCAGGGGAAAAGGAAAAACAAAACGAATAAAACAAAATTTTATGTGGTGAGATGGAGGCATTGTATGGAACTGAAAATTTCCGAAATGCCTAAAGTCCAATGATGAAGCTTCCTTTAATGAAAGTAACTCTGTTTTGAAACGTTACGCATAATTTATGACGAAGACATATGGATAATTAATAAACAATCCAATGGGTGGTGATTAAAGCGTAAAACAGGCGGTCCCCACACAATTGAAAAAGACCGCCGTGGTCCCACCATCACGGGTGGCACTTTTCGGCCACGACAATTAAGCTCGTGAATGTGAACTCCTCCCTCACATGTGATCAAAATTCAAAGGCATATGGCCATCTAGCACATAGAATAAAGTAAAATTATTCAATTAATACCGAACATGTATTTTTTTTTTGGCCATATACTTTTTTTGACCTGGTTTTTTTTTGCCATAAACCAAACATATGTTCTTTCCAAAAAAACAAAGGTACCAAAAACATATTTAAAGTTTGTTTGTTACTTGCAGTAAAATGAAAAGCAGTAGTTTATAGTACTTTCTATCGTATAAATTTAAAATTCTAAAAGATGGGCCTGAGATTCATTTCATGCCTTGTTGGGCCAGTTGAGTTGGGAAAATTTAGCTCAAATAAAACGAAATTATTTTAGCTTAGACCCTTTAACCTATATGTTAAGTGGTCTAAACCATTTAACCCATAACTCGGCCTATGTAAATTTTTTTCAAACGATTTATAAACTACCTAAACACACCCTGAATTAAGAATCAGAGAGTTGGATGATTTTACATTAGATGGTATTTGAACACAATAACGTGTCTGTTTTACCTCTTGTTGTAGATGATAAAGATGATAAGGGCAAATCAAGAATTGATCTCGTGTCAAATTCAAAGCAAGATCTGAATGTTATGAAATGCTTTGATCTAGATGTCATTTGGGCGTTGCGCCGCTCTTTTAATCCTTGCTGAAATTCCAACCATCACCATTGCTAAAACCACCCCGGCGGCACACACCTCATTCGACCCTCGGAGTGAGGTGTAAGGTGGTGGTTATTCCATTGCTTCCTCCTGCAGAACTTGAGCTCCACTAAATTCATGTAGCAGTTAAGCTCAGTACTTATATGTGCGCCTTTGCAGAAGGCATCCTCGAATTTAGAGTTTCAGTTCTTGTAGTAACATCTGGGCATTACCAGGGTTTGTATTTTATAAACAAATGGGGGAAGCAGGAAAACTGCAAAGGCAGATCATTATCATCCAGTTTATCTTTGTTACATGAAAGAGAATTAAGCAATTGCAGACAAGTTCAATAAACTGGAGAACCTGTTTCAAATTCAATCTCAAGCATAAGAAAGAAAGAAAACACATATTGGTCAAAAGATACCTTATAGAAACAATTCGCAGAATGTATATACAAGATGCGAATTAAAGGATCAAGCCCTGAGCAGGAGGCGGCTTTGAAGAGTGATGCTGCTCACTTGCTGCTGCTTTGGGAGACTCTGATAGAACCTGTGCATATTGATCCTCCACTTTTCGATGTTCTTCCTGTTCTGCATTCTCCACTTTTTCTTTTGTCTTTTGTCCCACATCTCCGGCTGCCTTAGCAACCTTGTTAAATGCACCTGTTACCCAGGAAGCCCCGGTAAGCACGTATCTGTTCTGCATTATAGCAGAACCAGCTGTACTGACTTTCTGTTCTGCAGCAGCAAATGCTGATTTGGTTTTCTCTGAAACCTGATACTTTTGATCCACTTCTCGAACTCTATCACTCACAACTGAAGCACCAACACTTATTTTCTCAGTAAGTCCAATTTTCTGGTCAAAAGATGCGACTTTAGCAGAAGCTGTGGATGACAACTGGTGCTTCTCATCAAACGTCCTTGCTTTGTTGACAGCATCTTTTCCTAAGATGAAGCCCTTGGCTAGCATGCCTGAGACCACATCCTCTGCCCTCCGTAAAGCAGATTCACCACCAACAGGAGGTTTTGTGTCTGTTGCCTGCAAAAGATTAGACAGTTCTTAGTCTGAGCAGTGTAGTTAGTTTAGTGTAGAGGTCCTCTGTAAGGCTTACAGATGACGCAAGGGCAGCAGGTGGAAGCTTGTAATCTGGATCCATAGTTACTGTAACTGATAGATCAACTATTGTTGCTCCCTGACATGGATGAAACTCTGTCAAACGTGGTTATACATTGTAATTTACATAAATCAATACACTAAAAGGAATAATTAGTAGAGGTTGTGAAAATTGTCATAATATTTGAAAGTATCCAATAGCTCAGATGAGGATATGCTAGCAGGTTAGACTCTACAAGCTCGTAAGTTGTTTTGCGGTACAAACTCATCATCCGATATTGAATAATTATGTTATGTAACCCACAGTCCGATAGGAGGAGGATAAGAATCTAGAGCAGAGAGGGAAATTTTCCAGCATCCAGCCTCACAGGAATCAATAAAATATGTCCAGTAACTATAAGATCATAAAACCTTTAGTTCCAGACTTCAGAGAGGATGGTGCTAGTTCGTCTTCTGAAGCTCCAACTACAAATTATTTCATCTTCCAAGGAAAAGGACAAATGGGACTTTTATATTAACAGTTCTGTTCGATAAGAAAGAGATTTTCCTTGATTAAAACCTTTAATAGCGACATTGAAAACTTGAGGATAATTATTATTTCAACAACTTTATATGAGGATCAGATCATCGGCATCAGCAGTAATACCATGACTTCTCTTATAACGTAGTTAGAGCTGAAAATAAACAGCACAGCATGTCCATTTTTTGTGATTGCTTAAAATAATGACTGATGCTGGCTCCAAACCTTAAAAATAATCAATGTTCAAATTGGATACAGGTGCTTCTAAAAAGTACAAAACTTTCAAGGGATCAGCTAAAATGTAAATTGAATAATTACATGGCGATTTAAGATTCTCCACCATGTACATCACAATGCATATAATAAGCAACTTTTGACAATATTCATATTAACATGGGACTATGATTAAGGTTTGCATGGAAGACCCTTGAGAAAAAGAAACTTTTGAAAGCCATTATAGAGTTTCTCAGTTCTAACCATGTGCGAGTATTTAAAGATCTATATATTCCTTGTATTTCAATGATAAAACGTGTCTCAATTACTCTGGAAAAAAAACTCCCTATGTCAACTCAAAGTAACACCTTTTGGGTATTGACAAATAATCATCTACTGTAAAATACAACAAAATAATACATATTAAATGATGATCAACAAGTTACCGATAGTAGCACTGCAGTCTCAGCTCCTTGCAAATCCTTGAAGGTGACGTAGGCAACTTGAGACCGTTCATCATGACTGCATCAACACAGAAGCTTATCATTTGAATAAAAAGAAATTAGGATTGAAAATACACTGAAGGAATAATTCATGAGGTATAACACTAAACACACCAACTGACCTCTGCATTTCAACATATTCAATGTCACCAGAAAATGAGAAGAACTCTTTTATGTCTCGCTCTGTTGCTCCCAAGGAAACATTACTCACTTTAACAGTTGTTAGCTGAAAAGAATAAAACACTTATATAGTAAAATCTTGTGGAAAATCCACCTCTGTATATGCTATAGCATTTTGAAATCCCACACTTAAGGGCAGCAACAACAACAGCAACAACAAGCCTTGTCCCACTAGGTGGGGTAGGCTACATGAATCACACGACGCTATTGTGCTCTATTAACATTTTGAAGATAAACAAAATTACTCATCTATACTTTGTTACTTCTTTGAAGAGCACTCCCCAGATGGTGTCTCCCATTAGTTTCTCGGAAAAAGAAACACATATGAATATTAGTATGTTATAAGTGCTTTCAAGTTGTCAACTCATTCTTACCACTTGTAAATAGTTTTTATAACTGCTACTTCTAATCATTATCTTTCTGTGGTTTGCTACATAAACATCTACACGAGAGAGGCTGTGACATATGGGAGGTTAAAAACCCAATAAAATATGTTAATCATTTAAAATGTGGTTTATTAACCAAACCAGCAGATTAAATTAGTGTGATTGTATCACATTATTCTAAGTTAATCCTTAAAATGATTCAAATACACAAAGGAGGAAAAAAACCTTAACCCACAAACTTGATGTTAGGATCAACACTTCAAACATACGCTAATCAGAAACAACTGTTGTTTATCCACATCACATGGTCATATTTCAATTAGACAGACTATAGAGAAATGCATACTTGTTGTAAAGCTTCAATTTTGACTCAGAATATACACCTGAGTCAATGTTTTAAAAGATAAGTAAGAGTTTAATTCTTCACCCACCAATTACCACATAATATTATCCGATTAATGAAATATGACACCGACAATTCAATTACTCTACAATCAGGCACTTGGAAAAACGAGTTTATCTAACATTACTAGTTGTTCAACATTTAATCCTTATGTATTATTTCCGGCTAATATTGTTCCTGTCCTTGAATAATATATATACATATGTAAGTATATGCATAAAGTTTGCATTGTGATCTTCATGATGTTTTAATTTTTAGGTAATCCTTTGAACAAATTTTGTAGGAATTGATAGGATTGTGTATAATCCACTTGTACTTCCACTAATTTTTCAACCTTTCAATCCTGTTTGGAGACGGAAACATAAACATCAATATTGTCATCAAAGCACCAAATACATAGATCTCCAGATTTCATTGTGTTGTAAGTGTTTAACACATCAGATTGTAGCAGGTATTATAAGCAACATTCATGTCTGCACAGGCACCACAAGGACACCAGCAGTTCTTGGGATTTGCCCATAACATCTCAATCAGTCAATAGCATCGCTAAAAGGTAATCCAACCAAAGTCTAAAATTTTCAATGTTCAACGGGAAGAATAAAATGGAGTCAGAAAACAGAACTTAGGCTAGGCCCTTAGATGGCAGCTCCATCTGTTACATGCTAAGGACTATATGTACCGGGCTTTTACTCTGAACCAAATGTCAAGGGAATTCATTCTTCTATCCTACAATTCTTTTCCTTTGACAATATCTACAGTGTGAAAGAGGACGATTAAAATTATTGGTAGGGTAGATAATGTTTAGCTTTGTCAAACCAGTCTGCAATGGTGTGAGGAGACAAGAAATCAGCTTCGTTTTAGGGTTGAGATCAGGATCAAATACCAACAATGATACAGTTTACAGATTAAGTGAATTATAACCGAAACGAAATAAACCTGGGAAGCATTTCAAAGATTTAAGCAAGTAAATGACGTTAAGAAAGATAATAACGTGTCATAGTTTCCCGAAAGAGATCCTTTTTGCAATTCTGAGAAATGTGAACCACTGATGGAAGAAATGGACATTTCATAGACAGGCTTCGCGGAAATTGAAGGTATGCTGATCATTATTTCCAAGTCAAAATCAGAACAGTTTCCAAATCATAAGAACAGACATTGTAGGCCGACATTTCATACAGCTGACATTCCAACAAGCTCAAAACCTTTCCAATCCACAAAAAGATCAAACTTGTAAAAATGTGACATATGCCGAATAACAAGATCTTCGAACATGCGAAACATACCACACTACGTACAATGACGACAAGTACTCACCGGCATCGTGAGAGGATTGCAATGAAAGATCTCGGGCGAGCAAGAAGAGCCGCAAATATTAGCTGGCAAGTCGGAACTATGTCTGTAGCAGAGAGTCTAGGGAGAAGCGAGGTCAGCAAAGGAGGAGAAGAAGAAAACGAAAATGGCATCAAGAGGAGGGAGCGCTTTAGATTTCTATTAGACGGGCAGAGTTTGGAACACGTGCCAGGGTCAGATTCGCACGTGGGAGTACCGTGAAATTCAATCCCAACGAGTTTTCCGACATGGGGACGGCCTATTGTAATTATAATACGATATAATTGTACTACCGACGCGTTAAGATTTATCAAAACAATGAATTATTATCACTCATATATCAGTCTAGTTCTCATACTGGAAGTGATAAATAATATTATTTCGGGTACTTAATACTATTATAAAAATTAGTTTGACTTTTAATTTAATTTTAAATATAAGATTATAATTCATTTTGTTTATCCTATTTATTTATTTTTTAAAAATAGTTCTTATAATAGTTGCATATATTAAATGTTTCATTAAATGATACTTGATTAGTATTGGTATGTTAAGGAAGATAACACCTATTTATTATAAATAACTAATTTAACTAATTATCTAATATACTTAAATTAGTTAATTAATTCTTATACTACGTCTGATCATAATTATAAAATCTCATTTACAGTTCACAAATAAGATCTTATAATTAAGATTGGAGGTAGTAATAAGAATTAGACGTAGTATATGAAAAAATATTAGTGTTGTGTTGAATTGGCATTAACAATTTCGCAATTTAGTTTATTCATTTAATTAATTGATTGATAAGACCGCTTCGTTACTAAGAAATAAACTCCCATGAATCTTAAACGCTGAAGCGTCGTCTATTGAGTTGATCTGAATTCCATGGACCTTTCGACATTTTTGAGCTTTTAAGAATATTTTTATGTATTAGATATAGATTTAGATGAAGGTAAGCAATGAGATTAAGGCTCCGTTTGGGTGACACCCCAAACCATGGTTTGGGGACCCAAACCATGATTTGGGTGATAAGTCACCCAAACACCCACGGGTTTTGGGCAAACCGTGGTTTTGGAAAAAGCAGAAATTTTTTGCTTTTGGAGAAAAAGGGGAGAGTGTGAGAGCTTATAGGATATGAATCTTGTTATTTTTTTTATAAACATATTTTTTATAAACATATTTAATCTTATATTTTAAAAATATATATACATATTAATTATTATTAATATATTATCTTATGTATTATTAATTATGTTAATAAAAAATATATTATTAACAATTTTATTCCTTCAAATTAAAATATATCATAAAATCTATTTTTTCTGTAATTATCATATTAACTTATGTCTTTTTTTTAGTAATTTGTATATATAAAAAGTGCTTCTGATAACAACTATCCAAACACTCTCACTTCTCAAAATCACTTTTTCATAACATTTATTTTTCTCAGAATCTATTCTTTCCAGAATCTATTCTCCAGAATCACTTTTTCAAAACACGGTTTGGTTTCATCCAAACACACCCTAAGTAAAAGTGATATAGAAAACTTGTTTGGCAAGATACTGTTTCGTAATGGGATTGGGAAGGGACATGAGTGGCATTTTAAAAAGTCAATGTGATATTGAAGTAATTGTATCAGGCAAGCTCTGGATTGCATGTGTAACTGATAAAGGAGAAAAAAAGGGGGGGGGGGTGACGCCACTAAAATATCATTTGCATATGTTGAAGAGACCCAAAAGACATTACATCAATGGCTCTGCGACGCATGAACACACGTTTTTGGAGTTGGGAGTGGATATCACGATCACGATATGATGAAGCCTGTTGGCGTTTTAACGAATTTATGTTGATGAGAAGCTTCGTGGGAGGCAGGCAAGGAAGATCCAACCTTTTTTTTTGGGGGGGGGGGGTAAGTAGAGAAGTAGAGGCCAAAATCAACCACCAGCTATCCAGCACCATTTGTAGGCAAGCAGCAGCCACCTTATTTTCATACAATATACTGCTTTTGCTATCAAGAGAATCTTTCCAAAATAAGTAGTTTTCACCATAAGATTGGGTTTAGTAGAAGATATTATTTTTTTTATAATATGTTGAATCAATGTTTAAAACCCTTTAAAAAAATGTCTGCATTTAGTGTTGGACTACTTTTTTTTAATACTAAATTTAAAGAGAGCTAAAGACCAAAATCAAGAAACTAACACGGGGGGAATTTCAATTCCAAATGCTCATCAAAAGTCAAGGTTTGCAAGTGAGGCAGGCCAGACTAAAAAGTGAAGAGTTGAAAAAAACCTTTACTAGCAAGAGCATCTACAAGTTGAGGAACATCTTGAATCGTGAGATCCCATGACAGTGTCATTAACTTCTGAATTTGTAGGAAAAGAAGGCTAGCTGCAGGAAAATTATCTCCAGTTTGAAGCTCATGTTCAAGGCATGGGATTCAAGGGTGACTTTCTTGAATCCCAGATCCCTTGAGAATAGCCCATTGCTCAACTTCAAAGGCAGTGCAAATACCAAGCCTATCAATCCAAGAACCTGGATGATCTCTGAAAACACCCCACAGCTGGACCTATTAGTAGAACTAGAGATACCTTCATCAACATTTAATTTGACCCAGCTCAAGGGTGGTGGTTGCCAAACTTGTCTCGGGAACAAGAAGAAAGAACACCACATTAACAAAACTGAAGGGAATTGAAAGGCGACGCGCAGCGAAAACGACATAAAATTTTAAACTTCCATTCCCTTCCCGGATCTACCGATCGCGTTTAAGTCAGGTAGTAAGAAGCATTACCTTTAGGCGTTCGATTCCCTGGTGACTTGATGATTCGGCCGTTCAGGATGCTTCTGGTGCCTCCTTTGTCGTTCGAAGTCGACAACTCCGGTCGGCTTCCTCTACCGGTATCCACACGAGTAGCCCTCAACCTCGAACGGCGTGCTAGTGCCTATGTCCGTTCTAGGGTTTTAGGAATCCGTCCTCTCTCCTCTCTTGGGCCGTCTCTTAGGTGTTGGTTCTCTCTCTTAGTTAAACCCTAGCTCCTCATACCAATATATAGGATGCTATATAGGTTTAATTAATAATATTTAATTTCGAAATTAACTCTAAATTAATTCCGAAATTAATACAATATCAAAATATTGCCTAATCAGATAAGAGAACAATTAAATAAATATGGTTTAAATTAAATCCGTCTCACAGATTTAATTCTCCTATTTATTTAATAAAGAGATGACGGAATTAATTTGTATATATTTAATTTATCCTTATAAATTAAATCTAACAATTAATATCTTTTATATTTATATATATTATACGAATTTATATATATATATATATATATACACACGTCCACCCTATATTATTCATTGAATCTGGACATATCTTAGATTCAATGAATCTGGACATCATAACTCGTGTCGGGCTATTTTGTGTGCGACCCTGTAGGCCCATATGAAGTTGGCAGTGGGCCATTAACTATGATGACCCACAAGTCGTAAGCGGTCTCTAGCAAGACATCACGACTACCCAAATCATATGAGGATCATTGAACGATGCAATCTTTCATACAACCATATCACGTCCCTTTTGCTCACGACATTTTGGTCATGGATGAGGCATGGAGAATGTCATCCTCCTATTCATGACCGTTACTTTCTCGATCCCTGAGTAGTCTGAGTATAGAAATGGAACTACCTTTCC